AAAGTAAGGACATCGTTAAAATAGTCCATGTGACATCAGTGGTTCAACTGGTTTAATTTTATGATGCTACGAGAATACTTTTTGTGCACAAGGAAAACAAAAATAACAAATTTATTCAACAATTCCTCTCTGCCACCATTCACGAGTGTAGCACGATGCATAAGAATTGTTGAATAAAGTCGTTATTTTTGTTTTCTTTGCACTCAAAAAGTTGCGCAAAGTTTCGCTTTGAATCCTCTATTGTGTTGTTTTTCATGTTGTAATTCTAACTTAACTCATTATTAACTCACCCTCATTTTGTTCCAAGCCCATTTGAAAAAAAAAAAAAAACTTTTGTGGATGTTATTTTGAAGGCTCTTCACTTTCCATACAGTGGTAGTTCATAATGACCACAGCTGTTCTGCTTGTGTGTTCATGCTTGGAACAACATGAGGGTGAATTTTCATTTTTGGGCCAACTATTCCTTTAACAGTGGTCTTTCATTTCCTTTTGACCCACTGACTGGCTACTCAAACCCACCTCAAGGAATTCCGTCCTGATTTCTCTGTATGTCAGGAGGCGGTCTGTATGCTTGCATGACTCTCGCCGTCTCCCCCCAGGCTTATTCCGGTCATCGACTCTTTACCAACAGGGCGGTCAATACCAGCCTGCTGAGAGGCTGAATAAGTGAGCCCTGAGGAAGAGACTGACACCATCCGTCTCACTTTATCCCTGGAAGACCACTGGCCCACTGAGCTAAAATTAGGTTTTTTTGGGGGTCTAAAAGAGCAAGATTAGGTGCTCAGTCCATAATGATGGATTTTTTGTTCTTTTGAAAAAATGACCGGGGTAAAAAGAATCACATGCCCAGTGATTAAAAAAATAATAATAATAATACTTGCTCTAGTTTTATATTCTGTCATATTGCTGTGAGGGATTTGGCTGTTCATTAAAGGAACATTGAACCTGGAGGTGGGCTGCTATATTAACTGCTTAGCCCAAGTTACAGTAGGAGCTGTGAAAATAATTGGCCCTTGTTTCAAGTGGCTATGAATTTTCTCTTATTGTGAAGCATTGCCATGTGTTCGCAGCTCGTGAGGGAACAGAAAGCCTGTGTTTTAAGACTCTTTGGCTGCCTCAAGAGCAATGCGTTTGTGAACACAGAAGTCTGCTACTTTCTGTTTCTGTAGCAGTTGTTTTTATTGTGTCTGCTGGAAAACAGATCAGCAAGAACATCTAAAGGTACATATTTAAGTGTTTATTCCCAGTAATGTCTTTGATTTAATTGATTTTATTAGAGGTTTCAATACAACTTTATATACAGGTTTACACTGTGTGCTAACCAGACACGAAATGACAAGAATGGCATTCAATCACGAAACAGATCCACCAATCAGAACTGTTCTGCCTGTTTGTGAACTAAAGCAAACATTGCTAGTACTGCAGCTGAAGAGCATAAAATTAAAAACACATACATTGAAGTATCTGACATTTGATTGATTGATCAACCATAAAATTTTGATGACTGATTTAATATGCAATAAGACAAGGTCCACTGACATTTTAGTGTTGACACGGCTGTCTGGCACGACACCACAAAGATGAAATCTTTTTGTATTATTTTTAAAATAAGATTTAGCATTATTTGAGTGTTATTAATAGCATTTATTAATATTTTGAATCAGTTTTTATTTTTATATTTTGTTTTCATTTTAATTTTAGGTTAAGTTTTAGTAATCTTATGTGCTTTTGTCATTTTTATTAGTTTTGAATATATTTAGCTTTCATTTTTATTTATTTCAGCTTTAGTTTTAGTAATTTTAGTTTGTCAACTAAAACTTATTTTATTCAGTTAGCTGCCAGGCCAACATTTCTAATTTTAATTAAAGTTTTTCTTCAAATATTTATATGAGCTTTATTTCAGTTAACAAAATCCTTTTTTTTTTTTTTTTTTAGTTAACACTAACAATGCTGCATAACAACAGTCGCTTTATCATGTTGTGTTTGGTTTGGACAGTGTTCGATTATATGTAGTTGCAGACAAAATCTCAATATTCAAAAGATAGTATTTGCTACACTCTTTGTCTGTTTAATGGAAAATAAGGGAGAGGCTAAAAATGTCAAAACAAACCATAGCTAGGTGATTTCTAAAACCACCTCAGATATTGTTTTATCAACATTCAGACTCAAAAGGTGAATTGTATTCTATGCTTTGAAGAACAAAGTAGACCTTTGATATACTTAAAAAGAAACATCTGTGATATCTTTGTGTAACTCATTTGCCATATGACTTATCTAGAATTGAGTCACTATGCTAAGGAGTTACTGTCAGAACGTAAGCACGCATGCATCTGGAAATTTCATCATTTTGAAACTTTATGCAATGTCATTTATATTTGACTCTAGGATCATTGATAACTGTTAAAAAAGTTACTTTTTTAAGTTTCAAAATGACACAAACTCAACCTTTTTAAAAAAAAAAAAACAGTTGTCAATGATCCTAGAGTCAGTCATGTGACTCCATATGTCTGCATGCAAAGATCACACCCTATAAAAATGGAAACCTTTTTCTTGGAAGAACATTTTCATGATCATGTGGAAGGTCCACATGATCATGAAAATGTTCTTCCCAGAAAGAGGTTTCCATTTCTATAAGATGTGATCTTTCATACCAGATTTTAACTCACCCCATTGCATTTAACTATTTACCACTTGAGATATTTTTCTTGCTGATGGAGAATGGCCAGATAAGACCAAGTTTTAATGTCGTAATGAAGTTGACCTATATCAGCCTATATCACTTGCTGCTGTTTTCACTGGGGAAGGCAATAAAGCCATAATCCACAGAGAACAGATGGAATTCCACCTGTTCCATACTTTTAGTGATAAAGTAGATTACTTGGATTACTTTGTATTGTTATTCACCTTAATAGGTTTTCAAATTGTGAATACATAATTCATTGGCAGGAGGATTACTGTATATCTCAAAAGAAGGGACAATCTAAAAGAGTCAGATATTTCCCAAGATGATGCTGTTAAAAGCTAGTGCAAAACTCTTACATCTGTAAAACACAGCCACTCTCTTAAAAGTATGTCAAGCTTCAGCGCCCCTAGTCATTTTAGATGACCAGGCTATTTTTGAGCATGTTCAACTGTGTGTTCCCTTGGCTGTAAACGTGCTGGGAATATCCTAGATGTGTATGCACTCAGCTAAAACTAGAAATTTTGTTTATAAAACTCCATAGGCATGTCTCCAGCACCTTGGGCCTGGTGATGATGGAGCTGGTGAACTTGTTTCTTGAAAGTCTTTATTGCTTCAGGCTGCAGAGGCCCAATAAAATTAATTAGTGCAGTGGTTAATGCTTCAAAGGTGCATTTTAACGTGCTTGCTGACATGTCCTCAGGTGCGCACCAAGCCTCTGTGGCTCATCCTGCCCAAAGCGATTGTTCCTTTTTTGATCTGGTGTACTGTGACGCATGGGTTTTATTTATGGAGGTTTGAAGCGACTCTCAGTTTTGGAGGGTAAAAATGGTCCTTATTCAAACTGGGGAGTCAAGGTTGGTCTTTGGGATTTGCTCATTTCAGAGCTTTTTCATTTTCAGAAGTTTCAGGACCAATAGTGGCACCAAACTGAATCATAAAATATGGCAAATAAGCAATATCATGGTCGATATTATAAATAAACACTGCCTGTTTTTGTTGTTGGTTTTAATAGTGCTCTGCTAAATAGTCACATCAGAATGAAATGGTGTACTGTAGAATAGATTGTTTTGGTAACAGTTCTTATTTGTTAATATGAATGCATTAAAAATACAGAACTAACTTTTAACAGCATTTATTAAATCTGGTTAATGTTAGTTAGTGTTACAACTTAACATTAAGGCTGCATTTATTTGAACAAAATACAGTAAAAAGAGCAATATTTTAAAATAACAGTTTTCTGTTTTAATATATTGTAAAATGTAATTTATTGCCGTGCTGGCAAAGCTTTTCAGCATCATTCCTCCAGACTTCAGTGTCGCATGATCCTTCAGAAATCATATGCTGATTTGCTGCTCAAGAATTTTTTTTATTATCCGTGTTGAAAACAGTTGTGCTGCTGAATATTTCTGTGGAAACTGTGATACACTTTTTTTCAAGACTCTTTGATGAATAAAAAGTTCAAAAGAACAGCATTTATTTAAAATTATTTAAAATATTTTATAACATTATAAATGTCTTTACTGTCACTTTTGATCAATTGTATGCTGAATAAAAGTATTAATAAATATTAATTAAATACTACTTAAAATAATTTTAGTTCTTCTAGTGTAGAGTGTGCTACTATCTACTTCCAGCTGATTATTAAAGCTCATTGAACTGGGAGAGGATAAATTATTTTAACATTATAAAAATTTCTTTTTACATCTCTAGGTTTTGTTTTTGATCTCCATACACTGTGGATGTGCTTCCTGTTTCATACAAATTCAGCACTTGTCCTCCTTTTATCATTGCTCATGAAGTGTTTTGTAGTCAGACTGTGTGTTTGGAGGGGAGCGCTGAGATCGTTGATATTGATTTGTCCAGTTTCCGGTGCTTGTTTGGAGAGACGTCGGTGTGAAATGCCTGACCAACTAAACAGCTCCGGCTGGCTGCTCTCTTTTCATTGTTCTAATTACAACAAGCATAGTTTGGGCCCCCTATGTTTTGCTTTCCGAATGTGTGTCATTGTGTGTGCGGCCTCTGCTCCACAATGGTGTGTCCAGAATGTTGTCTTGAGGGCTTTGTTCGTTGTCCAGTGGACTCACACGAAGACCGTGAGGCCATCCGACGTGAGAACACCCCTCCAGATGATGATGTTCCATCATTTGTTATTTCAACTATGTTATGGGTTTTCTGCATTATAGAGCACGCGAAGAAACAATATAGTATCTCTGATTCATTGCATGTAGCACTGTTCACAACCCATAGGATGTGATTATTTTGGTGTTTGTTAATTTCATACAGATTTGCTTTACTTTCTCTTTCTTTTGCACCCTAGAACTGAAGCGCATTGTTCAGTTGGACCTGGACCTCAAATTCAGAAGCAACATCAGAGACCTCTTTCAAGAGTTTAACCATTTCCCTGCTGAGGCTGTCATTGGAATTGCACGTGAAATGCAGCCGGTTTACAGGTATCGGACTCAGCTCTGTGTACAGTAAAGTAATTGTGTTCACTGTTCTCACATTTATATGCTCCTTGTTGATAAATCTGGTGCATTCATACCAAAAAGTATGAAAAGAAGCGCTACACGATATATTTGAATGTTTGTTTAATTTGTCGGTATTGGTCAAAATTGGATATTTAATTGTATAATTGTATATTTCCCCAATTTATAATTTTTAAATTACCTTTGCCATCATCTAACGTTAGCTTAAAGTAAATCTTTAAAAATATTAGGATTTTTATAGTTGTTAAAAGTAAATAAAATCTCTAAATGAATATCGTTTTTTTTTTTCACTGTACATTAAAATGTTAATTTTAGTGTTTATTATTTTATAAGATAGAATTTTAAGAAAATAGAATTTTTAAGGGGTCATATGATGCTATTTAAATTTTTCCTTTCTCTTTGAAGTGTTACAAGCTCTTGGTGCATAAAGAAGATCTGTAAAGTTGCAAAGACTAAAGTCTCAAATCCAAAGAGATATTCTTTATAAAAGTTAAGAGTCAGCCACACCTACCTAAAACGGCTCGTTCTAACGCCGCCCAAATGTTCACGCAAAGCAAGAAGGCGTAACTTTTATTCTCGCTGTAGTGTTGTTGCTGCTGCCATGTCGTGAAGACGCGTGTGTTTGTGTTCTGTGTGTTTCGTTGTGAAAGCGAAACTACTTTGTTTGGTCTTCCAAAAGAGGACGATATCCGCTTCGTCATGCCTAGAGCTGATCCGTGCTGGTCGTTGAGGGAATACATCAACTTCGCACTGTGGATTGCCGGATCGGCTTTCAATGTGGACGAAGCGGAGTCCAGCCCGGGATCGTTACATGTGGTTGCCGCAAGCCCGCCGGCCGCGCCGTTCACTCAGGCCCGCCGGCCTCCGCTCACTCTAGCCCGTGGGCCGTTCCTTCGCCAAATCCACCGGCCGCGCCGTTCTCAAGCCCGCCGTGTGTTTCGTTGTGAAAGTGAAACTACTTTGTTTGGCTTTCCAAAAGAGGACACGACTAGAAATCAGTGGTTAAGTTGTATTTACAACACTGTTCCAGAACACTTCAACCCAAATATCCAGATGTGTGCAGCACATTTTATGGAGGACTGTTTACTGATCCTGGGAGAGTAACGTTAGACTAAAATGCCAGCAGTTCTGACTCACGTAAGTACGTTTTCATTTAAAGGATTTGCCACTGATGATTCAAACGCGAGTTTTGGGCAGTGTAGAGTAGCGCTTGTTTGTGATTGTTGTGATCTCCGATCACAAATGCAGACATGGTTTTATGTTTATGCGGCTCGATGCAACGCAACGTGTAAAAAGAGAGTATAAGTCATAATCCGTAATTATGTCCCCACTGGATGCAACAAATGCCTAGTTAATAATGGGTTTTAATGTTTATGTCTCAGCGCTTCGGCCGGACAGGGCATCATCACAATATGGCAAGGGGCGTAACATTCTGCAATTTATTGGTTATCAGCTATAATTGAAAATATTTTTAATATATGATGCATTCCAGTATTATTTTAGTATTATTTATATGCTGTTATATAAATATTTTGAATTCTAATTTTGAATTTTCATTTTAATCCTAGTTTTAGTAATTTTGTGCTTTTTTATTAGTTAACTTTTTTTAGTATTTCTTTTTAATTTAACTTGACCTAGTACTTCAGCTTAAACGTTAAGCTTAAAAGATAGCTGCCAAGACAACATTTAAATTTTTTTTTTTTTTTTTACTTTTTCATTTAATATATTTTATTTCAGCTTTATTTCACTTACCAAAAACAATTTTAATAGTTTCAGTTAGCAATAACAAGAATGGTACATTTCTAATAAAAAATACTGTAATACCACCTTGTTTTGTGTTTTACATGATAATACCATGATAGTTTGGATGTTCACCATGGTAGTACAATGGTATTCTTTGAAGGTCCATGTAAATATGATGGTACATGCACCATGGTAAATTTCAAAATGTTATGAAATTACCATTTGATACACTACTGTGTTATGATGACAGTAATGTTTTGTCTTTTCGGCAAGCACTATAGTATTCTCTGTTCTGTACATCAAACCTGTAAAAGATATAGAGGTGCACTTTGATTTGCACCTAAGTTTAGAAAAAGGGTGACAAAATAGCAAAGTCCTACTCTACAATTTGGTCAAAACAGCTTTTTCAAAATCTGAAAGAGACTTTGGACAACCTGTCCTCCGAACACAATGTCGAAATGGTCAATGCCATTGCCATCAGTCTTGTGGCCTGGCAAAGGCAAGCTGGGCATTAAAACTGGGACGCATTTGGAGCCAAATGGAGGTGGAAGCCTTTTCACAATGTTCTCCAAGAGCCATCATGTGACTAGAGCTTTCAGGAAACCGTTTCTAATAGCTCCAGTGTTTAGCATCCGAAACATGAGGAGGAAGCTCAGATTGGTGATTGGAATTCACAAAGGAGGCTGTTTTTTCTTTTGCTTTCTGTGAGTGCGTTTGTGTGATTTCTCTGTGTGTCTATGCATGAGAGAGGGAAAGACTGTAGGCTTAAAAAAAAACACAAACCCTACATTGATGTTGAGCCTCTTTTGAAGCAAGACAGCCTTGTTTTAACAGACTTTCCTAGTTGATACCTCATTTAGCTTCCTTAAACAGGCACAAAGAACTAACAACCTAAAACAGCTTTGATTACCAGGATATTTAACCAAAAAGTGTCAAGACTCACATGATTGAGTATACAGGCATGAATTATCAGATTAATGTTGATGTTGATTAATGAGCATTTACCAAAGTACTTAAGGGTGGCACTAGATGGCACTTTAGTCCCCACTGTTCTCTTGTTGAATGTTGTTTCTTTTCATTTGTCCTATATTCTCATCAGACCTGCCTCACCTCAGTCAGAGCAACAAGTCAAGTCCTTGTATAAGAAACCAGCAAATCGTAGCAAGTACATCTCTATGTTAAAAGAATACTTCAGCCAAAAGAGAAAACTTTGCTATATTTTACTCACTCATTTGTTGTTTCAGCACATATAATGTTTTTTTTCCTTCTTTCTTGAAAACGTACTAACATAATTGGATGGTAATTAAAAAAAGAGAAGAGTGCCCAACTGCCCATATAGTTTCGTGAAGCAGTACGGTAGCTTTGCAAGAAGAACAAACTTGCATGTAATTTATGTTTTTTTTTTTTTTTTTTTAGTAATCAAAAAAGTACTGTACCAGTCAGCTGGTCATTAAATAATCTCTCACAGCATGATCAGGAACCAAATGTAAAACTTGTTGCATTGCAATTTAGTTAAGTTATCTCTATTATGTTAGAAGAAAGAGAATGTGTAAAGGTATGAAAGAAACTAGCTACACTGCCATTTAAATGTTTGGGGTAAGTAAGATTTTATTTATTTTTTTATTTTTTGAAAGAAATTTTAAGCAAGGATGCATACAATTGATTAAAAGTAACAGTTAAGACATTCATAATTTTGCAAAAGACTTCTATTTCAATAAAAAAGTAAATTTTTTTAACTTTCGTTTTAAAAAAAAAAACCTGAAAAAACATATCATGGTTTTTCACAAAAATATTAGTAGCACAACTGCTTTCAACTTGGATAATAATCAGAAATATTTCTTGAACATATTAAAATGATTTCTGAAGGATTATGTGACTCTAAAGACTGAAATAATGATGCTGAAAATTCAGCTTTGTCAACACAGGAATGATTACATTTTGAAATATATAGTAGAAAACAGTTATTTAAAATTGTAAAAAAAAAAAAAAACCTTAATATTACTGCTTTTACTGTATGTTTTATTAAATAATTGCAGCCTGATTGAGCATAAAGGCTTCTTAAAAACAAATAAATAAATAAATAATTATAATTTAAAAAAAAATCTTACCAACACCAACCTTTTTTGTTATTGTAAGAACTGAGTTTAAGAACTGTAGTCGGTTGCCTTAAATGATTGTTTAGTGTAATTACACCATGTGCATAATTATTAGGAACGTTGATATTCTGATGATATTTTTTTTTCAAGCACATTTTACCAATTATTCAAATCTAATGCAATACAGAAATTGCAAAGATAAAAGGTTTGTTCACCCAAAAATGAAAATTAGCCCATAAATTACTCGCCCTCAAGTCATCCTAGGTGTATATGACTTTCTTCTTTCAGACAAATCCAGTCGGAGTTATATAAAAAAATTGTCTTTGATCTTTCAAGCTGTTTAATGCCACTCAGCGAGTGTTGCATGCATCAGTCCAAAAGAAGTTAAATAAAAAGCACCCATCCATTAAAAAAAGTGTCTCACACGGCTCCGGGCGGTGAACAAAGGCCTCCTGTAGCGAATCGATGCGTTTTTGTAAGAATAATATACATATTCAAAACGTAATAATCAATTTAATATAGCTTGCGCCAACAGTTGTATATGGAAGCAGCTCCGGGCGCATGACGTATGAGGTCGGCTTAGCGCATGCCCCGCTCAGAAGTGACACACGCGGAAGCGCAGTGGAGAGATCAAAACAAAACAATGGTCACTTATTAGAAGTACAAAAAATCGACCTGTTCTCAGCAGAGCTCCTGAGAAAGGAGCTGTAAAAATATATTGAGATGGTTTTTGGTACTTATACCGCAAATATATATTCTTAAGGACATCAAAACCTCAAATAAAACTCCAGAAAGGTGTACAATATGGGACCTTTAAGAATTAATGCGAAGAATTAGGTGTAAAAACATCAGGAAACATTTAGTGTCCAGCGCCACCATTTTCCAGAACTGCAACCTTCCTGGAGTCTCCAGAATTACAAGGTGTCAGGTTCTCAGAGACTTTGCTTGGGTAAAAAATCCTTAAAAATTACCCCCACTTAATAAGAATAACATGCAACTAACATGTGTTAGTTTAATTGATGTGACCTTTCCTTACCCTAGTGTCATTCACCCATACAAGATTTTAGAAAATTAGAATTTCATGTTTTTCCAGTACATTTTTCATCTGTCTGTTCACTGTTTTGA